CTCAAGTGATCCACACTTGGGGTTGGGTATGACTGGCTGATGACGGCTAATAAGCCAGAAATGGCCATTCCGGTCTCCCTTGTCTTTGTCGGTATCATCTCATCTATGTCTACTACTAGTCGCTGTGCGACTGCCTGCGAGGGTTTAAGTATGAGCCCCAAGGCACAACGGAACGAGCATGTTCCGTAACCTGATCGGCGAGCGCCCACTGTCATAATTAATATTCCCGATCACAACCGACAGGACAACGGGCCCGTGGCTCAATGGTAGAGCGTTCAACTCCATGACCAAAGATCCCGGGTTCGAATCTCAAGTGATCCACACTTGGGGTTGGGTATGACTGGCTGATGACGGCTAATAAGCCAGAAATGGCCATTCCGGTCTCCCTTGTCTTTGTCGGTATCATCTCATCTATGTCTACTACTAGTCGCTGTGCGACTGCCTGCGAGGGTTTAAGTATGAGCCCCAAGGCACAACGGAACGAGCATGTTCCGTAACCTGATCGGCGAGCGCCCACTGTCATAATTAATATTCCCGATCACAACCGACAGGACAACGGGCCCGTGGCTCAATGGTAGAGCGTTCAACTCCATGACCAAAGATCCCGGGTTCGAATCTCAAGTGATCCACACTTGGGGTTGGGTATGACTGGCTGATGACGGCTAATAAGCCAGAAATGGCCATTCCGGTCTCCCTTGTCTTTGTCGGTATCATCTCATCTATGTCTACTACTAGTCGCTGTGCGACTGCCTGCGAGGGTTTAAGTATGAGCCCCAAGGCACAACGGAACGAGCATGTTCCGTAACCTGATCGGCGAGCGCCCACTGTCATAATATATATATATATATTAAATATAGTAAGTACAGCTGTCTCTGAGAGAAGAGGAGGAGGGCAACTATCTACCATCAAGAGTAGCAGAAGATGGTAAACATCGCAGACAGAAAATTCGTTCTCCACCTGAAGGCGAATCGTGTGTATTTGATATTATTTGTTGCTCCTGAGCAGAATGCAGAATAATGCATGCGACTCACGTAGCTTACCTCTCGAGTCGATTATCCCGACGCCTGGGGCTTCGCTTCACCTCCAGTTTACTCCCCAGTAATTAAGCTGGCGATTAGGCAATACCTATGCGTGCCTCCTCGTCATTTGTCCTGGCATGTATGTGCAGTGTCCCCCCCCCCCAAACGGGCCTTGTGGTAGATGTGCTGGACCAACACGAGGACCATATCTGATTCTGGCAAGCGTTATCGGATGTGCGCACCATATCCACGTTTTAGGGCGCGGTGACAGACCCAGCTGCCCGCAGACGCGCGCACACTGGGACCCCTGCCGCCCCCCCACTGTTGTTGTTGGTCACAAATCTGGTTATTTGTTGTGTGGACTAGGGGGGTGTGGAGTGGAGCGCCAAGATGCGGACTCGATCGTGCCATCCACCTGTGCCCTCCCCCGGTCTTCTTGACTCTGTCTTGGTACCGGGTCCAGGTGAGGGAGGAGGAGAGGGTGTGATAGACGCTGTGCAAGTCTACCACCACTATAAACTAATTCACGCACAAGTCACCGTCCCTGCTCTCACCTGGATATTGAGCACACGGTGTAATAGTCGGCAAAGACGCTCAAACTGTGGAATGTACAGTTTACGACCTTACAGATGAAAAGTCACGAACTTCGCTCGAAAAAAACCCTTACAGAGCACGGCTCGCCGTCCGCCCCACATCCACCAACGTCATAAAATGTTCAATAGGTGACCGATTGTTAAAAATACATTGTCCGATTTACGTCATAGATGAGAATCAACCCAGAAAAAAATAACTTTAAGGCGGGTCAATAACTTAGGACCTAATAATACGTAAAACTTAGGAGTAAAATAGGATGTAATGAAACAATAATCAAAATCAGTAAAAACTACACATAGGTATCTATAGAATGTCCCCTTTCCTTGTCCTCTCTGTGATTGGGGGAAATATATACAGCTCGGTAAATTATTATGCAACTCAGTAAGGTTGTCATTGGCGGTTTGGTCAGTATAATTACCAAGCTCAAAATCTGCCTTCTGTTGCACATAAAGCTGTTTTCTTGACATGTCCCAGTTTCTTTTTATTAGGGCAGACAGATTTTCGCTTGGATTGAGGTCCAGGCTGGTTACAGGAGTAAGGATGTGTTTTAAGTCGCAGGCGAGAGGCTGGCTGTGGTCCAAAATGTAGATTGTCTAAATCAGAATCATACCTTCTTTGAGCGGTGAACAGGTGCATTACTCTGCAATATTGTGGTGCTTGTTTGACGTCCCCGAATGCCGTTGTAGCCGAAGGTGTCAACGTACACACCCGGCTGTTAACTGTCTCCGTTGTCGACCGTCAAGTCGGGCGCTCTCAGAATTTGATGGCCATCCAAACTATCAAGCGCTAGCAGTTCTTGAATGTTGTTGTTGATTGATTGTGTTCTCGTGGGAAGTTCCTCCCACACATAATCACCTGGGCCAACTTCAAAGGCTTGTCTAAAAATAAGACCTAATTCTAAAGTTATTACTTTTCCAAAATGAAAGTCTACGATTAACATATTTTTGAGCAAACAAAAACGTTTCCTGTAAGTTTCCTACTTTAAACTGACTTTGTCACGGCGTTTTGTTGATGGGAATCAAGTCCTTTCATCCCTTTTCCAATTATGTGCAAAGAAAGCACTGGCAAGTGTTCCTTGTGAATCGTCATAAGAGGCATATAATGATACTTTTCTAGTATTCGACGGATTAAATCGTCGTCTTACTAGCTTAACTTTAGACACTGTTTTATTAGTAGCTATCAGGCGCCAACCCTTCAGCTATCAATTTTAGTATGCGCTCAAAATCAACTTTCGGTGAGAATTTTTCAGACATCTTCGTTGCGCTGAGTGGCACACAAAGGTGCCAGCATGTAGCGCGTAATGTACAGTAGATGTGCTAACTCATGAAATGTCAAACAAAATTTCGAAATGCGTTCTCGTTTCGAAAAGATAAATTAGGTAGTGTTGTAAAACTAATCATGATACAGCATAAATCTATAATGATCCAGTTACCCCAGGGCGTCGTCTTTCGAAAGAACTTATTTTCGGCTGCATGAAAGATCCATACTCTGCAAAAAATGTCTACTTAAGTAGCA